TCCTGTAGGTACTGAGGAGCTGTTCCATTCAGTGCCTTGTATGTGTATACCAGAATTTTGTACTGCGACCTGTATCGTACAGGTAACCAGTGCAACGAATAAAGCGCAGGTGTGATGTGCTCTCTCTTTCGAGTACGAGTAACTAGCCGTGCTGCAGTGTTCTGAACCCTCTGCAGACGACTAGTTAGTTTGTCAGATATACCACAGAGCAGGGCGTTACCATAATCCAACCGAGAGGTAACAAGTGAATGCACCAAAATCTTGCATGCATCTGCAGTTAGAAACTGCCGAATACAGCCGATGTTCCTGATCTGGTAGTAACAGGATTTGGCAATAGCGTTCACTTGTTTCTCCATGTTAAGAAAACTGTCAAAGTATACCCCTAGGTTAATATAAACTTAATTAATTTTACAACAATAAAAAACAAGTTCTTTCAACTTATGGTATTAATCACTCTTCAATCTTGTTGGCCGGGTTGGAGGAAACCAGAGAACCCAGTAAAAATCCACCAGGTTAGGATGAAAAGCAAGTATGTTTTCCCCTGCGCCACCTAATTAGTACTTACTGGTCATGTGCATAGGTGTGTTAGATCATGGTCACTTGTAGGTTTATGTGTAGATATATGGTTATTAGTCAAATTGTGGTCACTTTTATGTATACTGCAGATACAGATATTGGTCACATATCTCAGTCCTGTTCTTTAAATGCGACGACCCAGATCTTAGATTCTCTGAAAGAATTTCTAAACTTGAGACGGACACTCCATCATGTGAGATAGCTACACCGGTAGTATAGTGACCGATGATTGACCTTGCAAGTCTGGATCCAGGACTGTTGTCTATGATGTACATTAAGTATTAACATATAACATTAAATTGTATACAAATGTAAACTGATCAATACTTATCATTAAAAATATTCTCTCTGAATACAATACATTTACATATATTCAAACTAATCTAGGAGTTGTAGTGCATACATAATATTATACTCAACCCATATAATAAGAATGATCACAGAAACTTCTAAATTTTCAAAACAATAGCTATAAGTATGTTGGTTAATTAGGCTGATGTAATTGGATGTTCATACAATAAAAGTAAGAAGGGCGGGGGGGGGCTTATAAGTTATGGAGATCCTACAAGACAAAGAAGGGCTTATAAGGTATATGGGCTTATAAAGTAAGGGGTTGTATAAGCTGAGAGGGGCTTATGAGGTTATGGGGGGGGGGGGGGCTAAACAAGT